CTGTGTCAGACTCAACTCGGTGGCATTGGGTTTTAATCTTCTTTTACCTGTCCCCTTTGTGTTACTAATCCCCCCACATACTGTCTACTCTGGACCGGAATACTTTAAAGCAAATTCCAGATACTGTGTCATTTCATCCATGCTTCAGAGGAGCCCTGGTGGTACAGTGGTTAAACATTTGGCTGCTAACTGAAAGGTCGGTGGTTTAAACCTGAATCCATGAAGAAGGATGTGGCAGTACATAGGAGAAGGATGTACAGCTTGGAATCCCTATGGGGCAGTTCTGCTCTGTGTCTGGGGCTCTGTGAGACGGAATCCACACCATGACAGCAGGCTTGGTTTTTCTAGTTTACCGGTGCTTCACTACATATTTTGAATACAGGCAGTCCTCGTGTCAGGCATGTGCGACTTACAGACAATTTATACTTGCCCTTTAACGTTGTGTTAATTTGTTCTCACTTTGAAACAACTGGACTGACTCCTACTTGCAACAGATTCATCACAGTCACCTTCACTTGCTGCATATACAGCTTCCACCTCATTGAAAAGCCTTCAGGCTTTTGCTTGCACTAAAGTCAGTCTGAGAACCATGTGGACCTGTTCTAACTTACCTACAAATTCGACTTACAGACACTCTTAAGAATGGGTCTTGTTCATAACCTGGGGACTGCCTGTCAAAACCAAAAACCAAACTCACTGCTGTTGAGTCAGATCCGACTCATAGTGACTCCTCCTCGGGTTTTCGAGGCAATAGCTCTACGGAAGTAGATTGCCAACCTTCCTTCTGAGGAGTGGCTGGTGGGTTTGAACCGCCAGCCTTCTGGTTAGGAGTCAAATGCCTTAGGCACCACGCCACCAGAGCTCCCAGGGGACTGCCTGTAGATGAGGTGTTTTTTTTTTTTTTAAAAACCCATTATGACACTTTATAAGACTATTAATAATTGCATGACATCATCACACACAGCCATATTCACATTTCTCAGTTGGCTTCAAAACCAAAAAGACGTTTCAAAACCACCTGGGAAATGTCTTTTTATAGTTGGGTTATCTGATCCTGAGTCCGAACAAGACACACACAATGTATTTGGTTAAAATGACTCTGAAATCCCTTTTATTTTATTTCAGGTCATTTATCCTGTAGATTTTCTTGCACACTTGGTTTAGCTGGTGGCTTCCTTATTAGAATTTTCTTTTTACCTTCACTAATATCAGGAGTATGTTTTTGCCATAAGGAACGAGACAATATTGAGAAAGTCAAGGTCACCCTTGAGCCCAGCTCCCCAATCTCACCTCCGTGCAGGTGTTCACTGATTGTCAGGAAGCCCACCTGCACGTATCAGACCACATTCTGTGAGTTTAATTGTCCCATCAATGGACACGTTATCTGTAATCTGCTGTTGGTTTTCTCAGCAGTTTATCCTTTCCCAGCAAGTATTTCTTGAGTTTTTTCACTGTGTGCAGGGCCCTGAGTGGTGCAGATGGTTGGCACGTGGCTGGTAACCGGAAGGGTGGTGGTTCAGACTCAGCCGGTGGCATCACGGACAAAGCCTGGCAATTAGCTTCCCTAAAGATCATAGCCAAGGAAACCCTGTGGAGCTCAGTTCTGCTCTGTAACCACGAGTCGCCATGACTCAGGATCCAGGCCACCACAGCGGGCTTATGTTCTTAGGTACAGTGTGCTGGGCCTTGGATTAACAACCAAGACCAAAATTAAGCTCTCTGCCCTCGGGAAGCTGCTGTTTAGTGGGACAGATGGACAGAAAGCAGTATAAATAAGTAAAGAAGCGTGTCAGGTGCTGGTGAGAGCCAGGGAGAAACAGAACAGGAAGGTGAACATTCTGCGTTGTTAGGTAAGTGCTACCTCATTAAAAATGAAACGCCCCTGCTTTGCAGTTCTCCACAGCGTGGGTGCCCCATCATTTATTAAACAGTCCCTGTTGTGTGCCATGTCCCCGCCCATCCCCGTGCCCCATACCCCATGCTGTTGTCTCATGCTCATGTGCAGTGTGGCTCTGGAATTTGCACCAAGAAGTGGAATTGGTGGGTTGAGAACCCTGACGGTGGCTAGCTCATCCTTGAAATGCCCCCGAGAGCGGGGTGCTCTTATCACCTCCAGTCTTCAGAGCAGGGTCTGAGGCTCCGAGAGAGGTAGGGCTTCCAGGGAAGTGACTTGGCTGGGGTGTGGTGAAGTGGACAGCCCCGAGCCCGTCTCTGCACTCCTTCTGAACTGGGCCCCGGCTTCAGCACATCCTAGCTGGGTGACTTGGTGAGCCATTTCTGTAGAAGTCTGTGTCCTCATCTGTCCCACAGGGACAGCAATGAGTTGTTGCCAAATCCTCGGTGGCACAAATGGCTCAATGCTTGACCACTAGCCAAAAGGTTGGTGGTTTGAAGCCACCAGAGGCACCTCTGAACACAGGCTGGTGGTCTGCTTCTGGAAGTCACAGCCTTGAAGACCCTCCGAGCAGCTCTGCTCTGTGCACATGGGGCGCTGCAAGTCACAGATGACTCAGTGGCAACTAACAGCAGTAGGCTGTCTGGAGAGGAAACGGGATCACTGTCATGGCCTTGGCACGGTGCCTGACACACAGTAAACAAAACCAAAGCCATCGCAGCCAATTCCAACTCATAGCGGCCCTGGAGGACAGAACAGAACTGCCCCATAGGGTTTGCAAGGCTGTCAGTCTTGACAGAAGCAAAACCCAAACCAAACTGACTGCAGTGGAGGGGAGTCTGACCCACAGCGCCCCTAGAGGACAGAGTGGAACTGCCCCACAGGGTTTGCAAGGCTGTCAGTCTTCACAGAAGCAAAGCCCAAACCAAACTGATTGCGGTGGAGGGGAGTCTGACTCACAGCATCCCTAGAGGACACAGTGGAACTGTCTAACAGTGTTTGCAAGGCTGTCAGTGTACCCAAACCAACTGCCACATCTTTCTCCTGTGGAGTGGCTGGTGGGTTCGAACTGCCAGCCTTTTGGTTAGCAGCCCAGTGTTTTAACCACAGCACCGCCAGAGCTCCTAGTACAACAGTAGCAACAGTGAAAGCAATGTTGTCATTTATTGATCACTTACGATTGGCTCCCTGTTTTACAGAGGCAGCATATGAGGGCCGCTCTGTGACACAGGGGTCCCTCACATTTCTGACATGCGTCTGGTGTTTCAGAGAGCTCTAGCGTCAGGAGACCTGGGTTTGAGTCCCAACTCGCCACCTTGAAGCTCTGTGACCTTGGGTGGACCATTTCACCTGTCCCTACCTCACTCATCTGTAAAATGGGCTTATAGTAACCCTGTCCCAAGGGTGGCTGCAAGGGTTCAGGACTTGATGCCTGTAAAGCCCTGGGCAGAGTGTCACAGTCAATCAGTGGAGTTGCTGGAACCATCACCATCACCATCATCGTTAATATTGTTTATTACTATTATTGCTTCGGTGGGTCAGTGTACTTCCACATGAGCTGCAGGGACTGGACTCCCCTTTGGGGCTCCAGGCTGCAGGATGGTGAGCCGCCTCCTGTTCTCTCCCCAGAAGCCACCCGCACCCCCACCCCGCCCTCCAGGCCCCCGGGTCTTGGACCTCCGGCAGCACCTGGAACGATGGGGCCACAACCCAGAGAACTGCCCGCAGGTACGGGTGTCGGGGGGCTGCTGCCGCGGGCCCCTGGTGAAGATGGGGGGCCGCATCAAGACCTGGAGGAAGCGCTGGTTCTGCTTTGACCGCCAGGCCCGCCGCCTGGACTACTACGCAGGTAAGTCCTGCTTGGCCACCTTGGGAAGAGTCCAGTGTGGAGGCCCCTCCCCTCACCCCCAGGAGTCTAGGTGCCCTGGCCCTTCCTCCCTCAGGACACAGGAGTCCAGGACCCCACTCCCCCAAGATCCAGGAATCTGGGCCCTGGCTCTTCTTCCCCCGTAACTCGAAGTCTGACACTCAGGCCCCTCAGCTCCCAGGACCCAGGAGCCCAGCTCCTTCCTCCTCAAGTGACCCAGAGTCCAAACCCCCAGCCCTCCTCAGTAATGCAGAGAGCAGCCTTGTCCATTGTGGATCCAGGAGTCTGAACAGACACCCAGGAATCAGACCCCTAGTCTTTCCTCTCTAGAGGAATCCAGGGTTCTGATCCTCTCCCTCAGTTCCTGCCCTTCTTAGGGACGGAGATACTCAGAAATGAGGATTCCAGATCCCAGACCCCATTTCCCAGGACAGCCTGGGCCCTGACCTTACCCAGCTTCCACACCCAGCCTCCCACGTAGCACCTGCAACGTTCAGACTCACCTCCCAACCAGGGTACTTTAGGGACCTTCAGACTCTCACCATGTTCCTCAGCCCAGCCTGAGCCTTGACTTGGGCCTGTGACCCTGTTCCACAAACACACCCCCTTACTGTCTGTTTGTCCCTTGCCTTCCTCGGCAGACAAAGAAGAGACCAAGCTCAAAGGCGTCATCTACTTCCAGGCCATTGAGGAAGTCTACTATGACCACTTACGCTGTGCCTTTAAGGTGAAGCCCTCCCCTCAGTGTGACCCTACCCTCTTGGTCGAAGCCCCTGCAGTCAAGCCTTAGCTGGTCCCTAGCTCCTCCGTCCTGTCCCGTCTTGTCCCGTCCCAGGGAAAGCCAGCCACAGCCCGCACTGGCAGAGTGCTTGCCATCCAGCACAGGCGACCAGCAGGCCCTTTGACTCCAGGGACCTACAATGAAGAGCTTAGTCTCTGGCTCTCAGCCATTGTTACTTTTCATGGAGCAAAGCTCTGACAGCAAAGATTTGGCCCACTCTGATGCCAAGCTGGGAATAAATAAGGACAGGGTAAGGACAGAGTAGAGGCAGCCCCGAGAGTGACTAAAGAAAAAAAAAACTAAACCCACTGCCATTGAGTCGATTCCAACTCATAGCAACCCCCATTGAGTTTCCGAGGTGGTGTATCTTCATGGAAGTAGCTCACCTAGTCTTGTTTCTGCGGGGTGGCTGGTGGGTTTGAACCACCAACCTTCTGGTTAGTGGTCAGATGCCTTAGGCACTGTGCCACCAGAGCTCCTTGAGAGTAACTAAAGGAGATGGTTATTACTTAGCGCCTGCCCATAGAGCCAGGTGGAGTGAGCCCCAGGGTGTCATGAGGGTCCCGAACTGCCGTACAAGTGCACTGCCAGAAATGATTTGTTGGGAAATGATTCCATTTTTAGAAAGCTCTGTAGAAAGTGGACAACCATGACTTTGGGAAGCTTAGACTGGCCTCGCAAGTGTGTGACCTCAGGAGAGTGGCCTCCCTCAGTCAAGCCTCAGTTTTCTCATCTGCGTAATGGCCGCAATGCAGCCTGGCCCTGAGACTTCTAAGGTTAAGACAAAGAACGGATGTAAGGGATTTACTCAACTCAGGCCGGTGTTTAGTACATTGTTGTTGATTCGGGTCCGACTCCCGCGACCACATGCACAGCAGAACGATGCCGTGCCCGGTCCCGAGGCGTCTTCCCCTGTGCTCACTGGTCTGAGGCCACTCTGGAGGCCGCTGTGTGCTCTGAATGCCTGCCAGCTTGCGGGCCCCCCTTGCAGCACTGCATGGCACGGTGTTCGGATGTGAGCCACACGGTTTTCACTGATCAATTTTCAGAAGTAGATCAGAACACACAAGCCACCGCAGTATGATACGCTAACGGATGTGTGGTGGGTGTAGTAAACAGTTACGCAATAAATCAATTCCAGGCTTTCTTTGACTTTCCCAAGTTACAAACCACAGAGGGACCTAGAATTTGCAGAAGGGAGATTGGAACATCTACATTCTTAACATAAGGAGCTCTGGTAGCATAGTGCCTAAGGCATTTGACTGCTAAGCAGAAGGCTGGCAGTTCAAACCCATCAGCCGCTCCGCAGAAGAAAGATGGGGCAATCTACTCGGAACCAGTGGGGGTCACTGAGTTGGAATCCACTGGATGGCAGTGAGTTTGGTTTGGCTTGGTTTTCTTAATATGAGATAAGATAGGCCGAGAGAAGGGACAGGAATCCCGTTTTTTAATTTCTCTTGCTCCCACTTTAATGACTTTTTCGTGAGTTATTCTAAGCGCTTTCTTTGCTTAATTCACTTAATCTTCTCAATGAGGTGGGTATGGGAGCCCAGTACCTAATAAGCAAGCTAAGCACAGCTTTGCTGACTAATCTGTAGTGAACAGTTTCCCATGGGATTCACCACAGCAAAGATGTGAAAACGTGAAACTGTTCACAAGTAAGTAGGCACAAGTGAGCCGTGCTTACCTTGCTTACTGGATCATCCGACAGCGGCTGCGTAGCACCGTTCAGAAAGACGGTTTAAGACTGACTTGCCCAGTTAACACAGGGCGAGTGAGCAGCAGGTCTGAGATTACAACCTGCCGTGCTGCAAGTCAGTTCTCTGAACCATCCCCGCGCCCTGCCTGTTCCAGAGCCCCAGCCCCCGTCTGACGTTCTGCGTCAAAACCTACGAGCGCCTTTTCTACATGGTGGCCCCAAGTCCGGAGGCCATGCGTATTTGGATGGATGTCATCGTGACCGCGGCCGACGAAAATCACGGACCCTGAGTGGCCCCGCCCCCGGAGGGGACGTCCCGCCGAGGTCCCGCCCCTGCGCGTGCGTTGTGGCTCTCCGGGGCCCCGCCCACTGTTGGCAAGCCTGGGCCCGCCCCTTTGGAACTCTGCGGGAGTCCTGTTCTGCTGAAGTTCGGCTGGCCTGAACCTCGGTTTCTCAGCTGCAGAGGCCGCCAGGGGCAGGATCCCAGCCCCTAGGGCCCTGCCGCGAGCATAAGGAAGATTGTAGGGGTGGAAAGGAACTATTTATTGGTGCTCCTGTGACACGGAATTAAAGTTGGAGGAAAAACAATGGGTTGCTGGTGTGGTTTTTAGTCTGGGCGTCTGAGGCCCCTTGGCCCCTAGCGGGATATGCACGTTATGCGTGCACTTTCTGGTTCCACATTCTAGAGTGGAGGGTGTGTGTTTGTGTGAGAGAGAGAGACACAGACAGTGATGCATTCCTTAATCTTCGGGAATTTTACCGATTGGGCTATTTGCAGATTCTAGGAGCTACAGGACCCCCTCACTAGAGTCCTTTACATACGTTGTTCTCTCTACGCTTAGGTTCCAGCTGTTGTTGCTGTTACATACCATCAAGTCGGACCGACTCACAGCTAGTTTCCGCATTCTCTGAGTTCAGATGTTCCCTCTCTGAGGAAGCCCTCCCTGATCCCTCCCCGTCCCACCCCTAGCGCTCTGGGTCACCATTCATTCCTTAGGGACTGAGAGCTCCATGACAGCAGAACTGGGCTGGCTGGGGCACCACTGTCCCCAGCGCTATACACTTCACTCCGTGAAAGTGAATAAATACAAATGCTTCCCTTTAACCTCTGGGGTCTGTAACTCTTCCCGTGCTTGGGCCCTTGGACTCACTCCACCCAGCTCCTACTCATCAGTTAGGTCATAATCCAGATGCAGTACATAATCTGATTCTCCTGGCTGAGTCACATGCTTCCTCCGGGCTCCAGCAGCCCCCTGGGCCTTCCCCCAACCCCTGCCCTGACCACCCTGGGTTATCACTGCTGATCAAAGTGTCTCCCTTGATGGAGTAGTTACTCTAGGACATCCAGGAGGCATGGACTGGTCCTGCCTTGGTCACCACAGCCCAGAACAAACTAGCTGTTGAGTGAATGTTTGACGGTTGAACTGGTTGGTGAGAAAGATGTTAAAGATTGAGGACAGCCATGAACAAGGCAAACAAAATTTTTGGCTGACTTCATCATTTAGGTCTCATCTTAAATGCCTCCTCCTCCAGGAAGTTCTCCCTGATCCCTAGGCTGAGTTAGATCCCTCTTCTGGGCTCCACATTCCTGGGTTCCCCCCACTACCTGACCACTCTAGGTTGTCATGATCTGGAGACAGGTCATTCCCCATAGGCCCATAGGTGCAGGCATTGAGTCCCTCTGGCTCCCATTTCCTAAGGTGCTGGATCTTCCGGCCTGGATTCCCGACTCCCTTGAGGATGCAGATATGGTGCTCCTGAGTCCTGGAATGTAAACCTTCAAATCCCCAGGCCCCCTGGGACCCCAGATGTCCCCTGGCTTCCACTTCCAGGTGTGAGACACCTAGATTCCCGGATTAGTTCATCGCTGGCCCCTCTACTGGGACCCTGGACCTCGACCAGCCTCATGATCATGTGACCAATGTAGTCAACAGCACCAGGTGCTCAGAACTGGTTTAATGTTCTATGGCTGCCATCTTGAAATTCTTAATTTTACCTTTGAATTTATATTTTGTAAGAGAGGTCTGCTGGGACATTGGGATGCACGTGGGGGCAGCTGAGGGTGGGGTTCGGAGCCTTCGCTCACCTGTGAACCCACTTCCTGGTACCTCCCCACCTCCCTGTGACAGAGTCCCTCAGCCTTCCTTGTGCTCCAGCCCTGTGGGCACTGCCACTCTCTACACCCAGCAGGGACCTGAGAGCAGAGCTGGGGAGGCTGAGGGTCAGCGCGAGCGCCCCAGGGCCATCTTGGGGTGCGGTGGTATGGCGGGAAGAGGAACTCAGTACCAGATTGCTCAAGTTGTGGGGCAGGATCCCCGGACTGTGAAGATCTGTGGTCACCCCATGAGTGTGCTGTTAGGAGAGGAAACAAGGCATAAACTAGTGAATAAACTGCATGGGGGTGGGGAGCAGAGTGAGGGAGACAGATGGACAGACAGAGGGAGATGTCCCTCCACGATGTCTTTTTCTATGGATCAGTCTTTCCATTTTGCAAATTACCTAGCCAGCCATGCCCCTTCCCGGACGTGAAAGCACATCCCAGAGGGAGTGGGTTTGAGACAAGCTGGGAACATCCCTGAGCTCAGAGTCTGCTCTGCCTCAGGGGACAGGAAATCCATCATGGACATGGCCCCAGGCCTGTCTGAGGCCCTGGCATGACCTCCAGGGCTTGGGCTGCCTCTGCACTGTCCCCTGTGCTCATCTGTCTGGAAACCAGATTCTCGACCCCTGTGCAAGGATCTCTGTGGACTGGGGCTGCTGCTAAGAGCCACAGAGCAGGTGTGACTGGAGCAGCGTGTTCAAACCTCCCCCTGCTTTCTGGTCCTGGGCCAGGCGGGGTCAGCCCCCAGGATCCGGGCAGGCCTGAGCAAGAGACGACTCCCCACCCTGGGTCCCGCTCCCTCCCAAGACGCTAGTTCCTCCGGTTGGGCCAGTGCTGGGTTCCTCCCTGAAACTTTCCCACGTGGCTGGCGCTTTCAGGGAGGCCAGGGCCTCCTGTCCCTGAACGCACAATAATCCTGGGAGAACCACCCTGCCCGCCACTCACCAAGTCCTCCCTCCAACCCTCAGGAGGTGGGGCGCTGCAGACCTACTCGACAAGAGACAGCTGAAGTTGAGAGAGGGAGGCTGAGTTACTTACAGTCCCACAGCAAGGAGGTGGTTTAACATTTTCGTCTGTCTGATCGCAGACTTGATGCTTTCTCCACTGGTTCACAAAAGACACCCCTTCCTTTTTTTTTTTTTTTAATGTATTATTAAAAGGAGACCTTGAAGGCTCAGAGAGGTGAAGACACTTAGGAAAGGTGACACAGCACGCCAGAGGGTAGGGCTGGGATTAGGAGACCAGAGGGCTGCGGCCAGTGCAGAATGACTCCCTACGAGGCCACTTTCGCTCTCCGAGCCTCAGCGCAATGCCAAGTGACTCCACCTGTGTGACTGAGGTGCTCGTCACCGCCAGGAGTCAGGGTGCTCACAGGGTCTGGGGAATAGATCCTCTCTTTACAAACTCAGCCGCTATGTTTCCTGCCACTGGATAGTGAGCCAGTCAGAGGGAGCTGGGTTTGGCTCCTGGCTGTGTTGCTTCCTGTGTGAACCTGAACAAGAACATCTTCTTCTGTCTGGGTCTCAGTGTCCTCATCCATGAAATGGACTCAAGGAGAGGTTGCTTGTAGAAGGACTGAACACAGTGCCTGACTAAGGAAGTGGGGGCTATTATTAATCAACAGTAATAGTCATAGTAGCATCAACTGATGTTAACCTATAATGATAACTAATGCTTTTATCCCACAACTTGTCTGGTCTTCAGTCATTCGTGTTCAATGTATGAAATCTATTTTTCATATGGTCTCTAAACTCAGGTGGAATAAAATCAAGGTCGTGTTTTGGCTCTCCCGGACTTGTTTTCGTTGTCTTCAGCTTCAACCTGAACTTGCACATGAGCATTGATGGTCTGTTCCAGTCGGCTCCCTGGCCCTGTTTTGACTCATGATACTGAGTTTCTCCATCACCTCTTTCCACAGAGACAGTCGATCTGATCGCTGTGTATTTCACCTGGCAAGGTCCACGTGCATGTTCCTGTTGTTAGGTGCCGTCGCGTTGGCTCTGACTCACGGCGACCCTGTGTCTAACAGAAGGAAACACTTCCGGCTCCTGTGCCAGCCTCGTGATCCTTGCTGTACCTGAGCCCGTCGTTGCAGCCACTGTGTCAGTCCACCTTGTTGAGGGCTTTCCCCTTTTTCACTGACTCTCCCCTTTACCAAGCACGATACAACATGATGAAAGGGGATGATGAGACAAAGTCTGGCCATTCTTGCTTCCAAGGAGCATTCTGGCTGCACTTCTTCCAGGACAGATCTGTTAGTCTTCCTGCAGTCCATGGGACTTCCACTATTCTTCAGTATTTTTCGTCAATATTCACAACATAGCCACCGTTTATGCTGTTGAAGAAAGGTATTTGCAATGAATAAGTCGTTAATCCTCATAACAATCCGATGAGTAGATACGATTAAGACCCCAATTTACGGTTGAGGATATTGAGGTGCACGAAGTCAAGTGATTGTCCAATTTCACAGCTGGTAACCGCTGTACCCACGTATACTTGTGTGGGGTCTTGAGCCACGCTGCATGGGTTCAGATACTGCCTCCATTAGTTTCTAGCTG